AATTCGGGAGCGGTAGAGGAAGTTGCATTGTATAAAAATTAACTTTTTGTTTATAATATTTTTTTTTTTTAGTTTTCATATGAATATAACTGTTGAAAATCTTTTGATGATTTTTTTAAAAGAATATTTAAGAATTGGATATTTCATTGCATTACCCTAAGACTTCAGCTACAGATTATTTACTTATTTATTATCTTATCATTCTGAATCTTGAATGAATGAAATGTACTATGTGCAATGAATATATACGATTAAGATTGCTTGCACGGATCATAAGATAAACTTAGCGTAGGCGTACTGATAAGTTAGTAATCTGCTTTGAATTCTGATATAAATCCTGTCGTACACGACCCTTTTGAAAGAGGGACGAGACTTCTCATTTTGAACCAATAGAACATTACTTACTCTTACCCTAACTAGAAGGGCTTATCTCCTGATTGGAGGGTTCAGTACCACACCCTTCAGCCAGTTCACAGGAGGGCTCTGGTGGTAGGGGAGACATCTCGCCTCTGATTAGTTTCTGAAGTACAGCGAAGGTTTCTTGGGTAGCAAGTAAGGTCAGCTGAAAGTTCTTCTTCGTCTGAGGTTGTGATTAAAAAAAAAATGGTGTTATATATCTCACAACTTTCGTTTATCACCCGCCTTTCAGTAAATTTTTTCTAAGTAAATAAACCTTAAGTATCTACACTACATATAATAAGAGAGCTGCTTTTCATACCTTCAGGAGCGATGGATTTTGATGGATGAGGTATCAAATGAAAGTGAATTTCATTGAGAAATGACGAATTCCATCAATCATTAAATTCCTAAAACAACTTTAACAAAAATCATGGAAAAAATTGGTAGGTTTCAAAACTGGTGGTTGCAAAAGCTGACCGATCTAGGTTGAATAAATTTCATTTTGAAAATTCAGAATTAGACATCAAGTCCTGTGTTTTAAAATATACCGTTTCCGATACATTCCATAATTCTTGCAGAAAGCCTCTGAGATGATATTGTTGCCATGGGATACAATCCCATTGGTTAATCCTTAGTCTTCTGTCCTGCTCACTTGATGAACACCTTGATACTTCTTCCATTATAATCTGGTAGAAGTGAAGAATGGTGGTTCCCATGGCTCTCCAACCGCCTACACCTGCTTCTGTTGTGGGAGCTCAGTGCCCAAGTTGTTCCCAGTCTACCTGTAGATTTGGGTCCAATCATGGTCAATCTCTAAGTTTTTTGTTGTCTACAGATTTCATTGTAGCCTTGCTCATCAGCTTGAACTAGTGGCATCCGACCCGGGAGCACCTCTCATCTGCCTCGCGAAATTTTCTTTTGATTACATAATAAAATTTTAAATTTAGTAAATCATTCAAACACTAAATTATTACCAATTTTATTGAACTCTTTTCTCTTAAAAACCTCATTTCATAACTGAATTGTCATTTATGGAATAGAAGTACACTTTAGCTTTTGGCAAAGTTTATATAAGTCACTAGCTGTACCCGGCAACGCATTACTGTGGCTCATTTGAATAGAAAAATAAACAACAAAGAAAGCAGATATTTCTAATATAGATATGTTTCTAGTTAATTATAATAACAGATATTACTTTCACTTACGTATATATGTAATATATAGTAAGGGTAAGTGTTGCGGTCGAGAAAATTTTTGAATCTGAGTTTTCAACGTAAATACACGTTTTGAGGTACCCTGAGTCGAAATGACCAAGTCCCGAAAAATGGTCTGTGTGTTTGTATGTTAGCAGTCTAGCTCAAAAACGAAAACTCCTACGAAACTGATATTACGTATTTAAGGTAGGTATACGCCTTAGATGTGACTGCAACTTTTTCCTTAAAATCGGCTGACCGGAAGTGCCATTTTATATCAACGCTAAAACACATTTTCACAATTTTCTCAAAAATGGCTCTAACGATTTCGATTAAACTCGGTGTATCATTGTATAATTAAGTGGCCTTTAAGATCATTTAGGTCTTATCCCCGCTGGTGTCACTTTACAGGGCTTAAATGCCCAATGTTCATATACGTCTTCCTCTAAAGTACCTTTAATATGGTATATTTTAAATAGTTTCATATTATTCAAAGTTACGAAAAAATGCTAAATATAACTTTTGAAAGAATTTGATAAGTTAACAGAGGAGAAAAAAATAAAAATGCAGAAAAACCTGCGTTGCTATAGACTGTAGCGCCTAAATGAATGTACCGATTTCAATGAAACTTCGCTAAAGTCATTTTCTCGACACCCTTTAAATTTATCTATATAAATACTTCAACGAAAAGAAACTGGAAAAAAGTTACGAGGGATGGTAAAATTAAATTCCGAATAACTCAAAAAGTATACACTTTTTTGTGGATGTTGTGATAAGATTTTTCAAAGGTATTTCAATTGCCTAAAAACGAAAAAAGTTTCATCGAAATCGAAGCACTATTAGTAGAGATATCGCGATTTTTAAATATTTTTACTTTCACTTACGTATATATGTAATATATAGTAAGGGTAAGTATTGCGATCGAGAAAATTTTTGTCTAATTTATTTAATTTCACAATACTTGTGAATATACAATATTGTTTGTTGTTCCATTCTTTTTATAGATATAGTGACTGTCTGTTTTTTCAACTCTAGAACACACAAGTGAGAAGCAATTTTTCTCTACATCTTCAAAGAAAAAGTACTAAATGTTTAAAACATTATATCTTTGCACCAAATCATCCGATATTAGTGATATTTTTTTTAATTTGCATAAAAATTAAGAAGCTTTCAAATAATCAAACAAAAATTGTGTACTTTTTTAGTTATTCGCAAATATAGTTCTGAATAAATCGTAACTTTTTTTTCATATTCTTTTCGGAGAAGCATCTTTTGTACATAACTCAAAAAGGGCTTCAAGGAGAAGATTTTAGCCAACTTTAATTAAAATCGTTACAACCGTTTAGGCGCTATAGTTTATAGCGACACACGATTTTTCGGCCGCCTTTCAGAAATAAAAGACCGGATGGTAATTAAATGTTTATAAAAACACTCCCGAAAATGATAGACACGTTATATCAAAACTTCAAAGCAATCCCTGAAGAAGTTTCGGAGATATGCTGTTTTGTGAAAAGAAAATTTACGTTTTTGTTTATGTAGATTATTTGTTAATCAAAATATTTGATTAACAAATAATTAGATGTATATAAGTTGTAGTTCTAAATTAGCACTCATTACTCAAAATAGTGACTTTTGCTTGGATGTCCCTTTCAGGTGTTATTGGTGAAAAAACTTTAAATAAATACATCTAGTAAATTTGAACATATGGATATAATCACATGAAAAAACTTGCTGAATAACTACTCAATGGCAGCACTCCAATGATATGTCTACATTAGGAGATCACGGGGCCATCTTCTTTTCAGACGCCTCGGAGGGTTATCAGGAACTAGGAAGCAAGGTTAAAAACGAGAGGGTTGGGATGATTCTGAAGTTTATTATGGAAGGATAGGTATCTGGATTGGGCCAGATCTGAAACTAAAGAAACATTAAGGTCATTATGGATGGTTTTATTTGTAACAAAGTAGAAGGCATTGAGGATTTTACGAAGGATTTTGGAATGTAAGGATTGGATACGAGAGGAATTTGATGGTTTAGGGGAGCCCCACAGCTCATCTCCGTAAGTCCAAATAGGATTTTTCTTTATTTTGTGATCAAATTATCTTATGATTCGAGTGGAAAGCAAATGAGCGTTCGTTAGTTTTTAGTACATAATTAAATAGACAAAGTTCCCTCATATACAGATTCAAACGCCTAAATAGTTGTAGGTTATGATGAGATAAAGCTATTCAGAATTTTTTTTTTGAGGATGTTAATAATTTAATAAAAAGGGGTCTATACAAGGGACTATAATATGAGCCTTTCAGTTGACAGAATGTTGAACTCCAATTTCACCATTTTTTATTATTAAGTTTATTGATATTTCTAGTAGGAAAATTTATATATTTATTCACAGTTCTATATTTCAAAACTGCAATCACCTACTCTGGAATCAACTTACTCACTGCCTTTGCAGATATAAATTTTCCAACTAAAAATATCACTAAAATGACTTTACTCAAAAATGTTGAAATTAGAGTTAGTCATTATGTCAACTAAAAGACTCATGTATAGTCAAGTTAAAAAAAATGAAAACTTCGAATAACTTCAATCAAATACTGGTTAGTGTTCAATCAAGATTAAGTTGGATTAAACACTGGTTCATTATCACTTTCCATGATATTGTTTTGAAAAAAACAAAAGTATTTTATATTTTTAATGTACATTTTTATAAATAAAAAATCCATTTTTATTATTATAGATCCCAAGTCACAGTAAAAAATAAAATAAATAAAAGCTTCATAATAATTTATTGCTTTTATTTATGCAGAGAACAGTAATCCAGTTAATGAATGCTCGAAAAAGGGGTATAGAAGGAAATGAAGGTGAAACAATTTTTGACTAACGAATATTATGATAATTTTTTTTTTCTGCAAATACTCTGAATTGACGTATAAAGTTATAATTGATTCCTGATATAAGCCACCCATATCTAGCTCACTACCTAGGAGTGGGTACTTTTAGTATGTTAGTCCAAACAATGTCTCCGCCATTTTCTTTTATAGTCATTCATTAAATGGACTACAAATACTTTTGAGTTGACAATATCAAAACATAATTTTTTTAGACAACTATTTATTTATCTTAATTTATTCATTAACGAATAACAATTGATAATATTAGAAATAAAATTAGATATTGCACTAATCCTTCGAAAACTTCTTGATTGAGTTCTTTGCGATGTGGCTTACAGTATATAATTACTTATTTTCTTGCAGTTTAACACCCTCAAATAAAACTAAATATTTCTTCTGGAAAACAATTGCCTTTATCAATACAATACAGACATTATTTTCATAATTATCCCTCCCCCCCTTTATTCTATGTTTTCTAGAAGTTTAATTTTTTGTTTTCTTTTTTTCTTTTCAGGAGAGAGATTGTTTCATCCATGTAGTATGGAAAAGTAACTTGGCTTGCTTTTCAGAAAAAAACTCTGAAAGTTCATCCAATATTGCTGGTAATTCTTTTGATCTTAAAAATTAGATTTATATTACAAATTTAGGTAAGTATTTTAAATGAATATAATAATACATTTTTAAATGAAAGAAAAAATGTTCTTATCTAATTTTAAGAGCTTAGTTTTAAAATTCAAATGTTAACTTATAAAAATGCATTTATTATATCTTGGCTCATTCACATATTGCTAAAAGTCACTAAGTACATTTATGATGAAGCTTAACTTATTTCAGTGAATTTTAATCTTGTTTATCGATGTAAAAGTATAGCAAGTGGATCAAAATTGAGATCAGATCAGATTGTGAGGTCAGAACATTTAGCAATCAATGTAACTATTTTTTATACATCTAAAGGTTTATGTATAAAAAAAATTACATTGATTGCTAAATGTGATCTGACAGAGAGAAAATTAATCATAGTACTTATCGGGTTTATATAATAAACTCATGATATACTCAGTATAGTATTTTATCATGTCTAGTAATGGTTCATTGTTTTTCAGTATGGTGTGTTTTTTCTTTGGCTATTCTGGCTTTTGCTGTCATAATTGCAGGTTTGTTAAGGTATAATAGCCGATTAAATCTGGGATCATGTTTGAACAGAATACTTGGCTACCGAAGGGTATGTATTATATAGAGCTTTTTTCCTCTTTAAATCTCAATTTATAATTAAGCAAGGAATGGTGTGTATAACTCAATAATCTGCTCGCGTGCACTGGTTTTATTTAAAATAATTATTTTTATTATATTTATCTATTTTTCACTTACTATTTGATAAAATTATTCAATATTGTCTTCATAAGAGTTCTTTTCCTCATTTTATAACTTTATGATATAGTGTGCTCTATTTTAGTTACCATGAGTGAGGAGAGAAGGTTAGGCTTGTTAAGTTACCTCCTGATTAAGGTAGCACTGCTAGTCCTTAGTTGCCCAATTTATTCTTCACACATGTTATTTGATACATCTTAACTATATTTTAAGGATGGTAATTGTACTTCAAGGATAAAGAAAGATGAAGATATTTTTGTTATAGAAATTTTACAACTATAAATAGCATGAGCATTTCTTTTTAATAAACGCTATCTAATTCCATTTAAAAAGTAGTCCAAAGGTCACAGTATGACAAGTTGTACCAGTTTAAAACAAGTTTATCTTTTTCATCATAAACCATGGCCTGCAGGACCTAGTGGAGTTCTCAATAAGGCCAACAAGTTTGGAGACCAAAGCTAGGCCAGGAGGTCAATCACTAAATCGTGATAACGCGGTAACCTAATAAACCGAAGTTTAAATGATAAAATAAGTAAGTCAATAATAATTGCAAATTAAATAATTGCATCGGGGGAGGCTTTTTAACTTAAGCATTGATTCCCCACCCTCTATCCTAGCCCGGGAAAAATCCTTTATAGCCTAAAAGTCAAGGAAGGGATGAACAAAGAAAAATGATGAAAATTCAACTATAAAATATTATAAATAAGTATGATAAAATTTATAAAATATTAATAAGTAAGGTAAAATTATATGTACCTTACTACGTATCTACATATTCCATTGTATCACTTTGTGCAAACAATAAATAAACAAATCTTATTTTTAAGAATTAAGATTGTTAAACCAATTTATATGTTTTTCTATCCTGTGGAAATGAATATTTTTGTGATATCTAGATGTCTGATTCACGAGCTGTCATCTGTCATTCCTTGTGGCAAATTAGTGATGGAGTTCTTTTAGTTACTAATATATAAATATATACCTTATTTTTTTTCGGTTGGTGTTAAGTTAAAGATCATGCAAGATCTTCAGCCGTGTAATGTTGTCTTCTTGTAGGATATATTTTACTTGTGGGATCACAGATATTCTGGGGAGGGCCACCCAACCTCAAGTTCCTATGAATCATGGTCTCCATAGTGCAGCAGCCCATCCATAGCTCCATAGTCTATCCATGAAAAATACCTCTGTGGATAACTGACATCCTAGAAAACCACATTGTGATTCCCAATGAAAATACATGGGGTAGGGTCATCGCTCTTGCACCTGGTCATTGTGAGTTAGCTGCAGTAGACTGGCGGGTCTTGATCCAAGGAGAGGGGAGTTAATTTATTTAAATAATTCCTTTTTATTTTTAATTAAGAATCCTGGGTCCGGGATTCAACCCCACCACCTATAGGTTTGTAGGTTGGTATATTTTCCATGCACTTTAAACAGCTCTCCCTCCCAACCCCCTATGTATATAAACTTTGTTTCTATCTATCTATATTGTACTACTCATTAAAATTGATTTCATTGCTGTTTCTAGCTTTAAACTTTTCATTTTGTATTATTATAAATATTAATTAGCCAATTATTTAAAAACTGTAATTTTTGGCTTATTGATTAATAATGACAGTTTCCTTTTTTAAAAGATGAACTTTCAAGATAACTAAACTGGATTGCTGGATTAGTCAAGACTAATAATAAGTATAAGATAGTTATTTTTTTACCTCCTTGATATAATTTCTGCATCCATATTTTATTTATTTAATAGGTTTTATTTATAAAAGAGAATAGACTGTTGATAGGGTTATGAATGTGAACCATAATATATTAAGACAGGTAATTATAACTGGTTGGTACAACAGAATGGATTTGCCTAACCATGGATCTTACTCTTTAGGTAGTACAGCTATCTATAATAATGTCTATTTCAAGTGTCTATCTCCAGAAACACTTTGTTATATTACTAGTTAAAAAATATAAGAAAGATATTACATTTTGACGCACAACTATGCATGACCTTAGTCTTTAAAAATTAGGTCACGACAATCAGATCACAACTCAAATAAAGAATTTGTTTTAATTGTATAGTTTGAGTAATATGGAGAATCCATACCCAGAGAGAGATGATGTAATGTAGAGACCTTAATAATATAATCCTTGGAAAATATAATGGGGATGTTGTTATTGTAGAAAATGAGAAAGTCAGTTGTACAAAGCCTGCTTGAAGAAAAGAATCAATCCGAAAACTCTAACGGTAGTTGCATGGGAAGTGAAAGTCTGTCGGGATTAAATGTAATTCATGAGTTTAGTGAAAATAATGTGGAAGTTGAAAAAATAAATACAAGTAGTAGCAACAATTTGAATTGTACTGATGCTAATAATATGTTTCAACAAATAATGGCTATGCTTCATAATTTAGAGAATAATTTGGATAATTTAAATGAAACAGAATCTAACAATTAACAAGAAATTTTTAGAAAACAAGATTGTGACAACCTAGAAATCCAAATTATTGCAAATATAACTGAAGTTCAAGAAACTACACTGGCTGTGAAAACTTCCTTTGGTCCCTCAGAAAGTGATGAGAAGCATACTGTTATTGAAGAGCTGAGCAAAATCAATTATCCAATTGATAATGGATCGGGAAATCTCTTGAGAAAAGAGAAAGAAATCCTTGAAGAAAAATTAATGACAGCAGAAGTCCCTGTAGATATCCATCCAGTTAATGTTGCACTTGGCACTTGAAACTTAGCAAAATGAACTTGGAAAAATATTCTGGACAGAATAGATTTGCTTCAAATGGATTTTCATATTTTTTCATTTGTGCTTCTAGTAGACTATCATAATAAATCTATAAGTCATGGGCATATTAATCTTTTGATTCTCCTAATAGTGTTGGAAAATTTAACATAATTAATGCATTAAATTCCTATTTTTTTTTTATTTGTAATTATTAACAGGTTCATATAACTGTAAGCTTTATTTTAGTTTTTGATAACTTTTTTGTTTTTTAATATTTTATAATGTATGCTGAATTTTGTTTGTTTTAATTCATCTAAATATTTTGTGTGAAATTAATAGTTGAATAGCACAAGTTTTATTCTAAAGCACAATTAACCTCAATTTCAGGATCTAGAAATTGCAGAACTTCAAATGTAGCATCGCCTAATCAATTTGTGCGCGTGTGGTGCTTATTCATGGTAATGGAAATTATACTCATATTAGCATGTTAAAGACATCTCTATCAAGCTGGGCACTTAATCGAATGTTACTACTGATTTATTTATAAACATTAATTATATAGTATGACCAATATTACTAATCATTTGGGAAGCTAATTCTTTTAATGAGCTTGTTATGCTGGTATTCATACTTAGTAAATTATATTATGTTTTCAGATATGAAGAGGTTTGTATTTTATATCTCTCTTCAGTCTTTTTATTTATTATATACCATATATTACATGACTATGTAACAAATATGGAAATGCAAAAAAGGTAAAATTTGACAAGGTCACATTTATATTTGTACCAATTAAAGGAAAATGGGACAGAAGTCGCTTTCCAGTGGATACCAGACCATTGCAGGCTCCACGGAAATTATGAAGCTGACAAACTGGCCAGAGTAGGTTCTGAAAGATCCTACCAGATATTCCTCTGGGCATGGATTCAACTGAAGAGGAAATATATGCAAAAAATTGAAGGGAAGCGATGGAGTGGATTGCTGAAATAAAGTGGCAGGATCCCAAGAAATCTTCCTAGAGGGCAAGCCTTGGCATGCTTTAGAATGCCCATAGGGCACGATTTCCTGCAGAAGCACCTCCACTGTATAAAAGATGGCCCGACATGTCCTCTATGCTCCTTGGATGTTACGACAGGAGAACATCTTGATACATACCCTGCATTACAGGACATAAGATGTTCCTTAAGTGAAATGGACAACCCTTGTGCTGGGAAAAATTATGTTGGACTGCAAGAGTACACATGGCTGATCAAGCAGGTGTAACTTAACATAGAAAATTAAAAAACATAAAAAAAAAAAAATGCCACATCTTGTGTTTAGCTAAAATCAAGGTCGATTATAAATTTATTAAATACTTTTTGTTTTTTAATTATGCCTATCTTTATCATCTTAGTGCAGTCCCATACCATTCCAATTTGGATGGTGTGGTATGTCTGATGTTTAATTAGCTCGAACATACACTTAAATGCGCTGCATCCATATGTACTCCCGAATTACATAGGTTGCAACATGGAGGGAGTACCACTCCTATGAACATGTTTCCTAAGGTAGTCATGACCAGTTATCATCCTAATAATAATAATAATAATAGTTCTTTTTTTAATATTATAGTTATTTCTATTTGAAATTGTTAATTGTGGATATGTAGCCGGTGTGAATTAAAAAACATAAAAAAAACAAAAACAACGCCACATCTTGTGTTTAGCTAAAATCAAGGTCGATTATAAATTTATTAAATACTTTTTGTTTTTGAATTATGCCTATCTTTATCATCTTAGTGCAGTCCCGTACCATTCCAATTTGGATGGTGTGGTATATCTGATGTTTAATTAGCTCGAACATACACTTAAATGCGCTGCATCCATATTTGCTCCCAAATTACATAGGTTGCAACATGGAGGGAGTACCACTCCTATGAACATGTTTCCTAAGGTAGTCATGACCAGTTATCATCCTAATAATAATAATAATAGTTCTTTTCTTAATATTATAGTTATTTCTATTTGAAATTGTTAATTGTGAATATGTAGCCGGTGTGTAAATCTATGATAGTGGAATTCATCCATAGATGGCTCTTGTTGTCAATGTAGTAACTGTTAAACTGAGAAGATTTTCAACTTGTGACAAAGTAAGTTTTGTATCTTCAAAGTACAATTTGCAGACAGCATTTATTTTCTGTTACCATTTAAAGAAAACTGTTCTCATCAAATGCTTATTATAGATTATGGTGAGTATGCTCTTGTTAATTCACAGTGCTTTGAAAAATTCAAAAATAGCAATTTAGACATAAAAAATTAAAAATGTGGAACGTGAAGGTAATCTATAATTAGCTGCTAAAATCTGAATCGTGTATTGGGTAAAAAAATACCACAATATCAATAAAGGAAACATAAAGTAATTTTGCTTCATGGTAATGCACTCAGGAAAACCAGTAAAGGAAACCACTGAGAGATTCAGTTGGGTAATATTAGTTCATGAGGCTTACTCACTGGATTTGGTTCTGTCTTACAGCTATATATTTGCATCGATTGGACACACACTTACTCAGCAGCACTTCATTTCTTATGATTATGTTCAAAAATGGCTTGATGGCTGGTTTCTCCTAAAAGAGCAACAGTTCTTCCAGTATAGCATTCATAAATTTCCAGAGTGATGGGAAAGTGTATAGCTAGCGATACATAAGAGAGTATTTCAAATTAAATATTTTTTAACATTTTTATACCATAAACATTTAATTTCTATATAAAAATTTCAATTTCATATGAACACACCCGATATATGGCAGAAGTCACTAACTGTGTGTCTGTTTGACTAGGGCAACTGTTTAACATGCCCTGCTGCTCTTTAAAGAGTTTTCAATAAAATTTTTCATAACATTTCTTAAATATCCAATAATTAATTGTAATTATTAGCATGTTTATTTTCGATCATATTGGTCTCACTGTATATAGAATACCGAGTGTGCTTGAAAGTAAATGGATAAAGTATGATTCATAAATAAAGTATTTCTTTCTAATATAATAATAAGGCATTCATAATTGTTTGTAAACAATTATCTATTTTATAAAATAATATTAACAATCATTTGAGTTTAATGTTCTTGTGTATTCAAACTAAGGCAGAAAGGAATGGGATTTTTATATTTTAAAATTTTTATTATATTTTATTTTCAATATTATTAACAATATATAACTAACAACCCACTTTGAAGAAAAAGCAAACTGCTTGACTGGTTAACTAGAAATGTGCCTACAGGTTGAAAAGGTGTAGTTATAGGTGTTGGTGTTAGTGAACTCATGGTGTAGTTATTGAATCATTGAATAATTTATTCCATGTAGCATGATTTACTCACACGCTTTGAAAGCTTGATATCTAACATTGTTCTTACTAAATAATATGTAAACAGTATATTGATTTTTTCTATTTTAAGAAGTTGCAATGTTTTTAAAGCTAAAATCAAATTTATAACAACAAATACATTTTAAGTAAATTAAATTATGATTTTTGACATATCTGTTATAAATATGTAATATTTTTATATGATTTATGTTGTTACTTATGTATTGTAACACTTGTGTTGTTATTAATGTTATTTGTCTTTTACATTTGTCAATTTAGATTAATATCAATTGGTTTAGCTTGTCTATGGTTTCTAACATTTTTTTTCTGCAAACTAATAGAAATGCTTCATGAATTTTAGCCAATCTCTAACCTTATGTCACTGGTGAAAAGTACCTGTTGTGTGTTCACGTAAAACTTATGAAGAGAGTTTGAGCCTAACAACTTGGGAGATCATTGAGGTGGTTGAATCAACACATTGTTGATAACCCATTATCTTTAAATTTAATCCCAGTTATGACTAGAACATAATCAATAATAGAACTGAGTAGTGTAATGATGAGGTATTGGTTAAGAAAATGTTTTAATTGTGGAAAATAGTATTAACTTCCTTTCACCCGCCATCACAAAAAGTAATCGTTAATCAACATCATTAAACCAGCTAAAAGAAAATTTTATAATTCCTTTTTACTCCTAAATCAAAAATAATCTATAAAAAAAGTTATTAGCCTCTGAATCAAAGATATTTGGACTTATGCTCCTCAAGAATGTGGTGAATAAAGATGTGCAAAAGCACACAATCGAAAGATTGTAGAAATATTTATTTTTATTTCAGACTCAAGCTCAAAATTTTAAAAAAAGATTATTACTAATTACAATTTTAAGTACCAAAGCTAAAAGTAAATGTCTTTTCAAAAATAATTCTACTTATTATTATACTAGTATGATTTCATTACTGGAATACTAGATCACTGATGAATGAATATAGAAAATCATATGCTTTATTAAAGGAATATCCTTTTTCAATAAATCATTTGTCACCCTACCGAGGTAGGTATGAGTATATATATATATATATATATATATATATATATATATATATATATATATATATATATATTATTTATTTTAAATATTTCCAAACGAGTAAAGATTCAGACAGGCACCAGTGTATATATATTTATCCTACAATATCATTGAGTTTTTACATTTTTTTTATTGGGATAGCTGATTAATTTGGCAATGATCAGATATAAAAAGTGATAGTTTAAGTTAAAATGGTATTGATTCACTAATATGGTCTTTGTTCTTTGAATTCAGTGTTCAAGATTAATTTTATAATTTTTTGTTTATTTATTAAAATAAACTGTATTTGAAAAATACTGCTTCATTATTACTAAAGCATTAATATGTGAATCAAGTATCATGTAATTAAAAAGTAAAAGTGATTGTAACAGTTTATTTTCGGAGTGAAGTGACAAGAATCATATAAAGAGGACTTTAGAACTCAGGTGCTTATGAACAGAGGTGGAAGTTTACGAAGACAGAGATAGAGATATAGGTTTTTAAAAATCTGTAAGAGAGCAGCATCTACTGGTAAAGACCTGAACCTCAAGCCGTTAAAATATAGGATGTATCCCCACTCCACAGGCGGATTTACGGGAGAGGGGGGAGGGGCTTTTGGGCCGAAGCCCCCCCCCCCCCCCAAAACGGTAAAATATAACCATGTTTTATAGAAAAAAATATTAAAAACTATCTCTTAAAGTATTATTGTTCATGTAATTACATTTAATAGGACTTCAAGAATCACTTAAACACCATTTCATATAGGTAGTTCATTTCTTTCTTCTTTGTTTTTAAAATTAATTATCGTTATATATATGAAAAAAAAATCTTTCGGGCTGAAGCCCCCCAAAATTAAATCCTGAATCCGCTAGTGCCCCACTCTAATCAAGAGCGTTTGCATTGGTATATCCCCTTAACACCCAACATATATGAGCTTCTTTGAGATAAACCAGTTATGAAGTCCCCAGAATAAATCAGATATCATTGCTAAAAAATAATTAAACAATTAATATAGTAGTCCAGTGTCATTGAACATTTATAGATTTAAATCCATTGTAATGAGAAATTCCAGCTTCGTGTTGCTGTATCAAGACAACAAACCTCAAGTACTCTTATATTTTTATTTCTGCAGAAAAAATATACAAAATTCAGATTTGATATGATCTCAATAGTAAATTACATTTTATATTTTAATATCAAAGAAAAAATTTCAAAACGCTACAATTTCTAAATCTTAAGATAAAATCACTTATTTAATCCTAGTAAAGGCGAAAGATTTGACATTACATTGAAGTATAAATAATTGTATTTAGTTTTAATTTGTAAATAATTTTATTGTCTTTTCAACTTTTTATGCCACATATTTTATTTTATATTAATCAACTTATAGTGTTGAATTTGTACTAACAATTTCTTATATTTTGAATATTAAATAATTTTAGTGATGTATATTTGTTTATTATTTTTATTTCTTAGTACAATTTGAATTGAGATCCTTATTTAATGAACATATGCCTGATATGGTAAGAGGAATTTTATTAAAGAAAGCATAATTTTAAATGTTAATTTATTTATTATTTATCCATAAGTGGACCATGCCTTTAGAAAAGTGGGAGTCAAATGTAATCTATTCATTTCTTCAATAATATTAATTGATTGATTAAAAATAATGGTCACTGAGGTAGGATATGTAATTATACGTGTGTTTGTGTGTGTGGATTTGTATTTATATGTATATATTTAATGTAATTAGGCACTGATTTATACTGTTTATATTCTGACAACAATTGAAATCAGATCTTATAATTGCAAGGGTAAATATAGTCCATAGTGGGTGGGATTTTGTATTCTTTTTTTTAGTTCCTTATTAGTTGAATTCAAAGTAAATTTTATTACGAATTTTTTCTTCACAAAGAGGTATATTCCTCTCAAGTCTTTGAAGTTAAGTACAATTATATCTTGGAAAGTTAAAAAATGTAGTATGAATAAGCCACTAGGTATTTCAGAAAAATTATAATTATTTTACCATGAAATTAATATTTCATTTTTTTATTTTCAGCCTGAAGTTGACACTGAACTCGAATCTTTAACAATTGAAGAAGAAATTGAAAAAGAAAAATTGTTTATTTTAAAGACAAGATAGCTTAATAAATAAATGTTCAGGATTATTTTCTTAAATAAAGATTATTGTGATTCCAAGCAAAGTATACCTATAAATAGAAGTATATTCATTATTTAGTTTAATAGCGTGTTATTATTTATTTAATTACATTAATTAACCAAATTTACTTTCTTAGGATTGTAAATCTGATATCCTTGATTTTTTTTATTTACATCAGATTTATTAAGCCCATCAGTTTTGCAGTGATCAGATATAAAAAGTGATTACAGTTTTGGTTAAAATGGTATTGATCCACTGATGTGAATTTTGTTCTGTAAATCCAGTGTTCAAGTTTAATTTTTTGTTTGTTTATTAATAGCTTAGCTTGGATAAAATAAACACTGTTTTAATAAAGCACTACTAATAATATATATCAGAATAATAAGGCACTGACTTATACTGTATACAATTGAAATCACTTTTATTTACATATAATTGTAAGAGTAATTTTAGTTCCTATTTGGTGTGATTTTGTTTTACTTTGTTTCGTTTTTTAGTTCCTTATTAGTTTAATTCAAGGTAAATTTAATTTATCATCACAAAGAGGTAAGTTCATCTCATGCCTTTAAAAATAAAAAATAAAAAATTGTTAATATAATCTTAAGTCATACTCCAGAATAGAGGCTCAATAAACAGTTAATAAAGCAATTAGTACAGCTATGTAGTTAGAGCTATCACTAAGTTCAGTTTCCTCAAATTATCTACATTTTGTTCTGAAGCCGTTCAGTCATGGGTGGTGCACTCTTCTTGTATGGCAAAGTAACTTCTTTGCTAATTTTCCTGAATTTTACTTTATCTAAATTCTTAAAGAGAACTCAGATTTCCTGGTCTTTCTTTATTTTGAAATACAACATAGCTTAATTGGACGAAATAAATAAAGTGCTAAACTTTTTCAAACTTTAGCTGCAATTTGATGTAAGCTAATATTCTGGAGTATAACTAAATATTTTCATTTTATAATTAGCTGCTTTGTAAAACTTCGGATTAAGTTTCTTAATCTAATATTTAAAATATTTCTAAATGGTGCTACTTTTCTTAAAAAAAAAAAAAAAAAAAAATGTATAAATTGAAATCTACATTCTTGCAATTAATTATGTTGATATATCTTTTTTAATTTAAAACTATTGTGATAAAAGGCAAGTGTATTTTATAGTCACCTAGTTGACTAGCATAGCATGTATATATTTTATTAATTACCAAAGTTTACATAGTTTTATAATGGGTCATCTATGACTGTGTTTGCCTTAAATTTGTCCCTGTACGAATGCCTATAAGTATTATACCATTATAAATGATAATATAAATTGTTTTTCATTATAAATAAAATAGTCCAATGTCTCAGCATTTATTTAAATGATAAGTAAATAGGCAGTGAAAGTGATTTATGTATTTGAGACTTTAAGATTCAGATACATTTTATTTATAATGATGAAGAATTGACAGGGTATATATATATAAATGTATAAAGAATATGTTATATTAATGTTAATGATTGTAGTTTAGTTCTCTTTGTATTAAAAAAGAGTGTTATTTTATTTTGTTTAATTTGAAAATGAATGGTACTACTAAGTTATATCCTCACACATGTATCTTAATTTGAATCAGAATCCACCCAACGACGTAGTAATGTCAGCATTACATTCATTTAGTTTTTTTTTTTTACTAGTAATACTGCTATACTGCTTTCATTTAAATAAAATTAGATTTTTGATCATATGCCAAAATATTGTGTAGAATAAACCTAAAAATATCCTCTGAACAAGCAAACTATTGAAATAATTCTTTATTTTATTTTTTTTATGCTATGTTCCTAAAATTAAAATAGGTATAATAAAAAATATTTTTTCATAGATTTATGTTGATACATTTTCTGTTTTAACTTTCTTAATAAAAAAAAATTGAAATTAGATCTTTCAGTATAAAGTGATAAGAAGAGAGTGTATTTCGGATGGTTTTATCACAATTGAGGAATTACTTTCTGTTAAAAATATGTTAGACCTCAGGCTTTAACTTAAAATTCTTTTCATTAAAATGCAGAAATAGATGCATTTATCTACAAATATCCAAAATAAAAATCAATTTAATTTTGCTGAATGCTCTAATTCAGATTGGTTTTAGAGAACTGCTCGAAACAAGCTGGAAAAATAAATATTCAATATCATAAAAAATCTCAGCTCTGGAAAAAATAAATGTGTGTCATAATCATAATTTTTTTTTTAATTAGATAAGACATCTTTGTATTTAGTCATATTAATTTGTTTTAATTCTTTAATGACTTTAAATTGTAAGTGAATACAGTATATTTTTAGAATACACTTAATGCTGCTTACTATCATTTGTGATAAATATTTAGTTTATATAAGTGTTTTGTATATTTGCTAGAATATAATAATTTTATAGTTTATTTAATTAATTTTTATTTTAAAAACCTCAAAATAACTGTCTTCATTGATTTTAATTATACAAATTATAATTTAGTTATTATATTTATTACTATAATATATTAAAGAGCAAAAACTTATAAATAGACAAATTGTTAATTGTTAGGATATAACTGGAAAATAATAAACACTAAGACTCTTGTTTCTAAAAATCAGATAAACAATTAAGCCATCAACAGTTCGCCTATTGAGGTATCATCAGGATAAAAATAACCACGATCTGTTGAGGTGGAAGTTACAATATCCATTTCAATCCTTCGTTTCTAAGACTCTTGCCATATTTTGGTATTGCTGAATTTATTCCATTACATTGTACCATTTTAGTTGTTTAGTTTCCAGGTTTAATCTTTTAGATTCTTGCAGGATTTATAAAAAACAGATTGGGTCTTCTTAAGTAAAATGTACCTTAATACATATTTATACTCAAGGATATTTTAAGTACATCAACTTCTTCTCTGCCACACCAAATTTTGTGTGGCTTTAAATGGATTTAAAAAAAATGAATTAATAAGTTCTTGAGAACATGAAATCTTGCTGTGGTATACTTAACTAGTCTTGTTCATACATGAAGGTATGAGCTATGATTGACACAGATATCTAAATGGTTTGTAAGAAAATCTGTATTTGAAAATGGAATGAAAATATCTGGTTTGCCCACTCATACAACTTCCTTTGAAACTTTGAATTTTAAGTCCCATAAAAAAATGATTTGTTCTATCTTCTCTAATATTGATCTGGCTATTTTATTTACTTTAAAGATTTTAGACAATTTAATCTTTTAAAAAACAAGCATCTACAATAGAATATTCAAGATGATCAGTTTTTTAGTTACTTGATAAGCTGAAGAAAACCTATGCAGAATACATTCAAGATTATGACTGCGAAGTCCAATGCAGTGTATTTTGACTCATGTTAGTCTTTTTTAAGATAATTGAATTTTTTTTTAAACCAAAACTTCAGTATCATCCTGGTGTAATCAATACTAAATCTTTAAAAAAAATGGACACCTAGTTTCAGACGAAAATCCTGAGTAGTGGAAAGATCTTTTTTTTTTTCCATTCCTGGATTCTATGCATGTTGAATGGTTAATCTCAAATTGTGATTTAGAGCAGTTCAAATACATTTCTAATTCATCATTGTAAATAATCAACCAAAACAAGATTTTCCAAAACTTTCCTCTGTAAGGGATATTCCAGATAGTTTTCTTTTTTTTTACTTGATAGAGGATAATGTAAGGATTGTTTCTAATATTTAGCTGAGCATAATGAATAATAAATTGATACTGGATTCTCTCCTTCTCAAATAATATTTTTTATAATGAATATACATTTTGTTTTTATGTTTTTAATCCTTTGAAGTTAATGTAATACTTCAAAGAGACAGTTACCCCTAAGGGAGGAGAAGTTAGTATCTATCGCTTACCAATATTTTATGAAGAGGACACTGGCAGATGCAGATCTCTCCTCTGAAAAATGGAAAAATAATTGTTTTTTTCATTGGTTTATAACCGTTTCTGTGAGTGATGAGCTAAATACTTAAAAACATTTTTTTTAATTTTCTAGATAAATAAAAATATTTTTAAAAAATTGTTCCTGTTAGATATAAAAAATTATTTTAATATTTGTTAATTTTTATTAATTTCAGTAATATTTTACTTAGTTTCGAACTTCCATTTCTAACAATGATAGGAATATTGAATCATTTAAAAAGTTTATTTTGCTATTTGAATTTTTATAGTTTTAAATAAAGTTTTCCAATAGTTTTTAAAAAAAAAATTACTCAACTTTTACTTACCACCCTCACCTTAGCAGAAATAAGTATTTTCAGACAAAGGATAAGTGTAAGTAAAAATTATAGACGCTATTATTATTTATATTTCAATTTGGGTATTTTTATATGTATCAGTACCCTTACATATACAAATTTTAATATTTATATCGGTGTAATCTATAAAATTAAATATTAAATAATACCAACAATAGCATTTATGAAAACCGCATATGTATATTTATATAGTATTGTCGGAGTCCGTATTATGTTAAGCTCATGTTACAATCTTTTGCAATCAATTACAACTATTCTCTGTTACGATTTTTTATTTCTCCTTTAATTATTTATCAAATTCTTTCATATTTTATATTTGACTATCTTTAATATTAGAGATTAATTCAAATAAAAAAAATTAAAAGTACTTTAGAGGAAGCTAATATTTAAAATTAGTCATTTAAGCCCTGTTAGAGAACATCAATCAGAATAAAAACTACATTTTATTTAAAACTGCTTAATTTTACACTGATATAATGAATTTAATCAAAATCGTTAGAGCCATTTCCGAGTAAATTGTATAAATGTGTTTAGCCCATGATATAAAGTGCCACTTACGGGTAGTTGATTTTGATGAAAAAGTTACTGTAACATCCCTAGCATATAATAACCTTAAATATGCAATTTCATTTTCATACAACTTTTCGTTTTTGAGCTAGACTGTTAACACACACACACAAACACAGACCATTTTGCGGGACTTGGTTATTTGGTCTCAGGGGACTTTAAAACGTGTATTTCCGTTGAAAACTGATATTCAAAAATTTTACTTTTCTTTATTATATATTTAATATATAGGTAAATGAAAGTGATATATG